CCCCCCCCCCCCCCTTGCCCATTTCTGCCTCTGCTGGGACTAATGTTGACCCACGCACTAGCCCCTGCCCCAGAATAGGGCAACCCCCTACTCCGCCCCTACCCTCTTTGAGACATTCACCCCCCACCTTGTGATGGCCCTGCACAATAGAGCTCCCCCCACCCCCTTCTTACCGTCCAGCCCTCCGGGAACGATTCGATCTAGCCGACTACAGTTATTGATGACACACTTACCAAAATGTCGATCGCAATTTGGAAAAGCAGGGCCTCTTCAAAAATATGCAATAACCCCCGAAAACACCCTGCATCTTTAAGAACAACCCACTGAAAAAAGCCCATGGTGGCAGTACGACTATTACAATTAATCCCCTGCTCCTTGCGCCAATCAACGTTTGGCAGCTCCCACCATGTGGACGTATCACCAATTTAAAAAAAGCAAAAACTAATTATCGGCGAGATTCCGAGGTTTTCAGGTTCCAAGGTTAGAAAATCATGATAGAAACTTTACTTCAAAGAAGCTAATCCTCCCATTTTGCGCATTTTAGAAATTATAGTCGAAATTCAAGGATACATAATTATAGAACAGATCCCTACGAATTGTGCTGGCTATTCAAAATGGATAATGTATGTTTGTGTGTGTGTGTACATGTAGATGAGAATACTTTGCGTGGGACTTTTAGAAATTATAATTGAAATTCAAGGATATGTGTATATGTGTGTACATGGAGATGAGAATTTGGCTGATCAGAGAACAGAGGATAAGATTGTGAGTTTATTTTTCCAAATTTGAGAAGCTGAATTTATAACTGTGTAAGCACTAGATTAGAGCAAGAATATAGGAAATTAGAAGATACAAAATTAAAATCAGCGAAATCAATTTGAAAAGGCAGCCGACGCGAAGAGCACCACACATGTTCGCACGAAATTCTCCTGCTCCATCGCCGCTGTCATTATTGCGCCGCTGCCTGCTTCCGTGTCTTTAACCGTTGAACCAGCTCAAACGAACGCTTGAAACCGCCAGCTCTTTTTGACGCTCCAACTTATAACAAGCCTCCCTCCTACCACTCCGCATGAGAAGATGCTCCTCACTTTCTGCCCGCACTGCCCAACCAACCTCCACTAGATTCGTGCAGGAGCATAGGAGTAGGGCCACTACCATGCCCAAGATCTCACGAAGACTATCCTAATCACCCCAACAGCCTCCCCTTCCTCTAGCGTGTCAACCCGTGACACCACATAAACGGAGCACGGATCAGGAGACCTCTTCAGCCTAGGTTATCAAGGCTGGAAGAGCCCTCAGCTGAAGCATCACGTCAATGGCCGCGCCAGACAAAACCAGCAGAACCTCGCGCAATCGCCTGCTACCGTAATCCCCATTGCCCACATGAACTCCTCGATATTCCTCGCAGGGAGCCGTGCCGACAAGGCGCCACCAACTCACGAACCGGCCCATGTCGATAGCGGAGCAATGCGGCGCTCCCAGTCGCGCCACGCCACCCACACTAACTAATCATTGCCTCAATTGAAATTAATTGCCACACTAACGCATCATGCCCGTGGTTATTCCCACACACGAACTCGTCACGCCTGTGGCTAATTCCCACAGTAACTAGCCATGGCTCTGGTCAATCGAAGTTAAAAATTCCCACACTAACTGATCATGCACGTGGTTAATTCCCACACTAACCAGCCATGACGCTGGTCAATTCATACACTAACTAACCATGCCTCCTGCCTTCTTTGGTTTTCAGAATTCCTCCTTTGGTCCTTGTTGGAGATTAGCTTTCACTGTTTTGCATCTCTGCAAAGTTTCACCGTTTCACATCTGGTTTTGGTAGCACTATCTGCTCACTATCTGCTCAGTCAATCCCCTGGCCTTCAGGGTAATCAATGCTGGCAGACAAAAAGGGGCCTCAGATTATCATCTTTGTATAACGGGACACTGGACCCGTTTTCCAACAGGTCTAGTTAGACAAACAAACATGGCTAGTTAGTGTGCCAATTAACCACCAGAACTAACTACCGTCTTCACCCGAATAGAACGCCGGTCATTATAGCTGCATCAGGACTGAAAGTTGCCCTCGATACAGCTATAATGACCGGGCATTCTATTCGGGTGAAGACGGTAGCATGGGAGGATTAGTTCTCGATTGAATTAATTCTGCTGGTTAAGTCTGGCTAGTTTAGCAGAGAAGCATGGGAATTAATTCTGGTGGTTCAGTCCCACACTAAGTACTAGCCATGACGCTAGGTGTAGTTAGACAAACATCGAGCAGAGAACGCCCGTTTACTCTGTCCTAGGGAAAAGAAAGGGAAGCGGAAGGAGTGAACCACCAGAAGCATGGGAAGAGTCCAGGAGAGGAAAAACAGCTTGTCAGCAACCTACCATTTAGCATCAGACTGACACGTTAGGTTACTTAATAAGTTAATAACAGACTAGCAACGTAGCTGCACGCTGAGAGGTGGTAGGGGACACAGGCAGTTATGGATGCAGTGTGAAAGGTGATAACTGTAGATGTATAAAAATTGTATGCATCTGACTTCCAGTGAGATCAGAAACAGATTGTACTCCCCACAATGAGAGAAACCATCAACGGAAGGTCAGTTTTCTCTTTTCTTTGAGAGAAGAGTTTGAAAAACAATCCAAATAAGTTCGTACGGAGGACAGGCAGACAAGTGCTCCGGATAGCAGCTATAGCTGTGAAGGTATACCTGTCCCACTCCTTTTTTTTTTTCTTTTTTTTTTTTTTTGAATACCTGTCCACATTCGTTACTGCCCCACGTGAAAATGTCACCGTTATCAGTTACCGCCATGGAGTGATGAGCTCCCGCTGCGACCTGCCAAAGCAAAGAGGAGGATCTTTAGAGATAAGTTTCTTTTTCTTCTTCGTTTTTTTTTTTTCCTGTGTTTCTAGCTGGGCTACCAGCTGGGCCGCCCGGGTCACCTTGTTTGACCGGCCAGACCAGCGAAGGGCCCACCAAAAAATGAAATTAAAAATCCAAAAAAAGTTTAAAAACTGAAAAAAAAAACTATGTGATGCACAAAAATAAACTGAACAACTTTTGCGCCGGGTCACACCGCAATTCTTTACCAAATTAAAAAAAAAAAAAAAAAAAAAAAAAAAAAAAAAAAAGACTATCCGCCCCCCCCCCCCTGTCGGGCAACTTGCCCCGGGCCACTCTGGTAGCCTAGGTTTCTGGTACTTTCTACCTTTCAGAAAACAATGCCCCAAGTGAATATAGCATAGCCAAAGACCTCGTTCAGGGGTGAAATTAGTAAATTAGTAAAAATTACTAAGAAAAATGTTGATTGTGCTACACTTCCTTTTTTCTTTTTTTTTTAATCCCAGAATCCGAGCGCTTGTGTACAAGTTAACAGGCAGCGACCCAGATCCTTGTTTCGATCGAGGTACCATCGAACACGTGAGCGCATGGAGTTTCCGTACGACATGGATTAACACATGTAAGGGCAGGGCCTGCGATCGACCTTGTTTGTTTGCATGGTCTGTGCACAATCCACATTATGCTTATCTCAGTGCTGTTCGGATCCCTGTGTTTTTGTTTTTGTTTTTGTTTTCCCAAAGCGCAACTGCCTTGAGATATCATCATCAAACCGACCGGCCCCAGGCGATTCACAATTAGCTTATTCTGTTCATCTGGTGGTATCTGGATTCGAACTGTGGACTAGGCGTGCAGCGCAGCGCTGGTCTGGTTGTGTGTGTTTCAACAGTTCATGGGTTTACCAACCGAGCTAGGCCCGTCTATGCATCCAAGTTTTATCAGTTTGCATGCAGCCATTGATTGACTGGAACTAGTCTGCAAGCGCTTTAGCTATTAACCACTGAGGCTCTATTGTTGGGTGGCTTCAATGGACCGGTGGCATGGCTAGTACTGTATGTTGGAGCGGGGAAGGTGGACGAGTCATGCGCGGCTCATGATAAAGAGCAGGGCTTTTCTCTAGGTTGCAGCGATTGTTAAACGCTTGCATGCAAAGTTTGTGGACCATAACTGTTGAAATGCAGACCCGAGTTTGAATCCTTTGATTAACAGAACCAAAAAAATGTGAATTAGCTCTGGTCGGTCAGTTCCGTGATACTATCTCAAGTCCGCCGCCCTTCTCAACTCAAAAAAAAAGAAGTTGGGCAAAGACCAGATACCACAACTGGCACCATAGCTTCTTTGGCTTCTTCCAAATACCAGATACAAGTGGCATCATAGCTACTTTGACTTCTTCCACACCTCTTCTTTGACTTCATTCCCAAACCTCTTCTTGGTTCCATTTGATTTCGACTGCAAGCTTGCTAGCCTAACTCAAGTCGAGCATGCAGCGCATATCCAGTCTGAGAATGGACCATGGAATCTGAGAACTGACCATGGAACCTTCATTCTTGTTAGACAGACACCTAACCAATAGGCTAAGCAGGCAGGCTGGGGTGAAAGTGGAGGCCCAAGATAAGTACTTGACCCCACCCCGACACGGAAACCTGTGACGTGGTGTACCCAGCACGAAAACCCGCGAGTTTCTCATGGACTGGGAGTCCAACGAAGCAATTTCAAAAGCTTTCTAATATGCTACTATTCCTATTATTGGATTGGAGTTATAATATGCTACTATTCCTATTATTGGATTGGAGTTATAATATGCTACTATTCCTATTATTGGATTGGAGTTATGTTTTTTGAAAAACGAACTCTGACATTGTTTCGTTAGACTCACAGTCCTTGACTCTAGGAGTAATCCGAAGGCCTTGCAACTCCCACCATGCCAACTTACACTGGAAACCCACCACTTTCTTGAGCACAGGGAGTCTAACGGAAACACTGTCGAAACCGTCCTAATATCCTATTATCTCTTCTCTTACTCTTATAGAGTAAATAGCAGGTCTCGCTTGACACTCCCACGCGATACCCGCCTTCCAGTGTCGGGAAAACTGTCGGGACAAGGGGCGGGCCCAATGAAGGCCAAGAGCTGCTGTCGTTTGCAATTCGTGTTGCCCGACGCGTGTTCAAATACAAGTACATAACGCTGCCACGTGCAGAGTGGTTGTTTTTTTTCCCCAAGAGTAGATTCGTCGTTTTTTCCCAGTAGAGTCGTCGCTTTTTTGCTCCAGCAGATTCGTTGTTTTGTTTTCATGTATCTTTGATTCTCTTGATGTTGTGGCAGATGATTCATTTCAACTTTGCCCCTGGTGAGTAGTGGAGCGAGGCCCCATCATCTCGCAGCAGTACTCTTAGGGCCTCTCCTCAACTACTCACCACGTACCCCAAAGACAACAAAGTGGAGTCTTTTTCTTTTCAGTAGATTTTTTTTTCTTTTTTTTTGGCTTTTTGTGGCCAACGGACTCTTAGGGTCTCGCTCCACTACTCACCACGTGCCCAAAAGACAAAAAAGTGGAGTCTTTTTTTTTTCCTTTGACTTTTTGTCGCGATGCGATGAGATGCCACAGCCAGCAGGAAATGGTCCCCCCTGCGCTTCAGGCATTGCTGTGTTAGGGCCTCGCTTCACTACTCTCCAAATGTGCAAAATGAGACTCGATCCACCCCTAGAACATGGAAAGGTACATTGCCATCTTTTTGCCTTTTGTGCATGTGGCGAGCAGTGCAGCGAGGCCCTTAGTTGCAGTGCGCTGGCTGTTCGTGTCCGAGACAAAGTTGTCAGGTTCTGTTCGAGCAGTGCAGCGAGGCCCTTAGTTGCATTGCGCTGGCTGTTCGTGTCCAAGACAAAGAGGCTCGGCACACAGGCTGTCGAAAACCTGGTTTTTGACAATTTGCATCGCCACACAGACTTTCGAAGAATTGCGGCTCAAAAAGTTTTCGACAGGTGTCCGAATGGTCTTTTCGACAGCCGCCCTCCAGCAACCGTTTCCACCAGCCTGCAGGTGACGGAAATTCGACAGTGGCCCGCCGACCTTTCGAAAATTGCGTTCGAGTTGGCGTTGTCAGGGACTGTTCTGTCAACTTCCGTGAAACCCGTCCGCCTGGCCATGACCAAAAACCTTGCCCCTCGACAGCCTGTGTGGCGAAGGGGGCAGAAATTGTCGACGGCCCGATTGTCGAAAATTGTCGACATTCGACAGCCTGTGTGGCGAGCCTCAAAGTTGTCAGGTTCTGTTCAACGTGTTCGTGTCCGAGACAAAGTTGTCAGGTTCTGTTCGTCTTCGAGACAAGTTGTAAGGTTCTGTTCGTGTCCGAGACAAAGTTGTCAGGACCTGTTCGTGACCGAGACAAAGTTGTCAGGTTTTGTTCGTGTCCGAGACAAAGTTGTCAGGTTCTGTTTGTGTCCGAGACAAAGTTGTCAGGTTCTGTTTGTGTCCGAGACAAAGTTGTCAGGTTCTGTTCATGTCCGAGACAAAGTTGTCAGGTTCCCCCGTGGTTTGGCCATTGCTGTGTTAGTCACATGTTCAAATACAAGTACATAACATGCCCGATTTGACATCCCTCCCAGGGAAAGAAAAAGGAGTGTCCCGGTCCCGTGGATCTTAGCTGCAATTTCGGTCAAATACCTTCCCGGGATTGTTTTTTTCCCTTCTTTTCCCTGATTCCCCGTTGCCCTGGAAAGCACCCGACGGCTGCTGTTGGAACTGGCTGTGCGCTTCTTTGCTGGGGCCCTGTGCCCGCTGCCCCCCTCATGGTCCCCGCCGCATGTGCGGCGGGCGTCCTTTTGTTTCTATTWTTGCTTTTTTTTTTTTTTTTTTTTTTTTGAAAAAGGAACTTCAACATCGTTCCGTTAGGCTCCCAGTCCTTTACTCCAGCTTTAATCTGAAGGCCTTGCAACTTCCACTGTGCCAATTGGGACAGTACGACGCCGTCTTTAATAACAAAGAATAGACAAACAGTCCGAGACTCGGCAGATCTGTGAATCATTTCCTTTTGCACAGGAAGTGCCTTTGCGATTTGGAGTAAATGCGCTAACTGTGTTCACTTAACGCACCCTGGATATCCGTGATCTTGTGAACTTGCTCAGAATGGCCGCTGGGTTCTTCCGATCTTCCACATCGCCAAGGCCAAGCTGTCCAAAGTCATTAGCCCCCCAAGCATACACCTGCACAATATTACAGGCAAGAGCATTGCACACAGTCTCATCAACTTTCACTTTGAGTCAACCAAGAACAGGGACGGAAAGTGGAAGTGATTCTATGACACAAAACCGAAGTGTGTGTGTATGTGTGCGTGTGTGCGTGTGTGTGGGGTGGGGGGTGGGGGGTGGGGGGGGCTTGCCTGTGTGTGCGTGCATGCGTGTGCATGCATGTGCATGTGTGTGCGTGCATGCGTGTGCATGCATGTGCATGTGTGTGCGTGTGCATGTGTGTGCATGTGTGTGTTTTGAATTTGCACCACAACAGCCCCTATTCCACCCAGACGAGCAGACCCAAAATCAAAACATCACGTTTGCTTTCTTTGGGGTACCCCTTTCATTTTTTTATTATTATTATTATTTTTTTAATAAATAAAACAGGTCCTTAAGGCCCTGGCTCCATTTCCATTCTGGGGAGCATCAGTCCGGTTCCTATTCCACCGGCAAGTCAGGAAAATATTACAATAAAGGACACCCACACGCTTCCTTCCGTCTGGCCGAAGGAACCCTGATCAGCATTGATTGCTCCAGCAGCGTGGAGGATTGACTGTCAGCTTGTCCTGCTTGCACCTTTCCTCTCAGGACTACTGTAAGAACCTGTCAGATAAAACATGCACAACCAGAAAGGTCTGAGAAGCTACGGCAGCTGCCGATGCTGTCTAAGTCCTAATCCTCTAACCCCTCAAATAAGCCTCTTAAAATCCTTAGCATTCTGCACTCTGCTGTCTTGTTTGTGCCTAAACCCTCATCCCTAAGCCCTAAACCCCGAGGAAGATTAATCCTCTTCCATGTGTGCCCTGTGAAACCTCGTCTGCTGTCTGACACGTATGAGTCTTGAGTACTCTTCTAGGCTGGGCTGGTTCCTCAGGTACCTGGGAGTTCTGCTGGGATACCAACTTGACCAGATTATGCCGATCTTTCCATCATAGAACGTGCCCAATCTGTCATGCCACTTTGTCATCTACGGACCAGATCTGCTAGAATTTAGCTAGTGACACCTGCTCTGTCTCTGGATTGTTCCGTCCCCAGAGTTTAACGTTTCCCCATTGGCAGAGGATTTCTGCTTTGCCATCCAGTCTTCTGGAGGATTCGCTGTCGGCTTGTACTGCTTTACTCTTTCCCCTCGGTTCACACTGCCGGTGTTCTTTTCCTTTTTTCCTCTTCCGCACTCCTCCAACTGATGGGGCTCCCTCTGGCTTTGTCTTGCTGAACTCCACCTTCTGCTGGCTGAGTACTTCTGTCCCTGCCATCTGCCAAGAGCTTCGACTTGTAACGGAGTCTTCATCTGTGCCCACTTCTTCTCTCGGCGGTTAGTCTGACCGTCAGTGATTCTACCGTTTCATCTCTTGCCGGTGACTCGTAGTGACGCCATCCTTATCGGTCCCTCGCCGCAGGTTAGAGGTATTAGTCGGGGGGAGAGGTGGTAAAAAGTTATCTGGGGAGGAGATATGGAGGAGAGGGGTGCACGGGTTGGAGGTCTATGCTCGTTTCTGTTCCATTTAGTCCCGCTTTTTAGGCTGAATGGTACCTTTCCGTTTCCTCCCTTCTCTTTGTTTTTGTTAATCCCAGTTTTTGAAATGTAGACAGCCCTTCTCTATTTTTGCAATACCATTTCCGTGTAAGCCAGATTTTCTCGGATTTTTTCAGACTCATCTCTCGCTTCTCTGGTTGCAGTAATTTCTGTTGTTCTTTTTGTTCTCTACTCCACCGAGCCCTTATCTCTGTTTGTATTATGGACTTAACTTCCAACCACCTCTCCTCCAGGCTGGGAAATTGATTGTCTAACGTACCTTTGCATCTCGCTTTCCATATTACCCAGAGGGTCGCTCTCCTCCACAGGTCCGCTAAAGATGTTTCCTCTTCTTCCAAGTCGTTGTCTACAA